ATGACAGACACAGAGAGAGAGAGAGAGGCAGAGACACAGGCAGAGGGAGAAGCAGGCTCCACACAGAGAGCCCAACACCGGACTCGATCAGCTGCTGGGACATCTAATGGAGCAGCCCTGAATGGATTTCATCCGTCCAGCCCTCCCTGGTGCCTGGTGTCTCAGGGTTCCTCCCTGATGCTAGATCCTTGGGCCCCTGCCTAATGCCGAAGGGCGCCACTCCCCGTCTTGCCTTCAGCTGCTCCTCCCACCACCTGGAGCCCTGCCCTCCAGCTTCAGCCTGGCCTGTGGTGAAACCGTGGCTTCCTTCCCTCTGGGCACCCCCAAGCTGGTTTGTGGGACACCCCACACACACACCATGTACATCATCATGGTGTTGATGCCAACAGACACTAATGTAGCATTAGTCATCTTCATCCTTCTGGCTCATTACGCCCCTCAACCCAGAGTGAAGCAGCTCCTTCCACAGCTGTTTCCTACAAGTCTGCTCAAAATCTTGATGTCCTTTCTTCATTGAAGGTCGAGTTCTTCATCAGAGGCAAGATTGTCTGAAGCTATACTGGAGAGGGGTCAGCGTTCTGAGAGACAGCAGTGCTACTGACACCTTGGCCCCTCCAAGAATGCTGGGGTTCCTCTGACCTGTCCCAGAGAGTGGGGTTCCCTGTGCCTTCCAACACCAGCTGCCCTGCTGCGGCCAGGCCTGGTGATCTGGCCAGGCTAAACCACAAACACTAGAGTTGGCAGGGACCAGTGACTGATCCTCTTGGCCTTGCTCACTCAGTGGAAGACAGGATTGTGTTGGACACCAGCAGTGCAAGGATGTAAAAGTCATTGGAAACAGCTTTGTTCCCACTGCTGCCCACGAGAGGCCCAGCACTGCACCTGCCCCAGTAAGCTGGAGAGCCAGCAGCCCCTTAAGAATGGAGGGTGCCCAAACACAACCAAAAGGCAGTTGTTTTCAGGGAGACTAACTCTGAGATGGTGGCCCCATATTGTAAGTCCCCACCTCTAATTTTGGAATTCATTCAGTGATCAGGCTCTCATGAGCCAGCTGGTCCATCAGCCTTGAGCATAGCACAGGGTCTGTGTCAGGAGAACCAGGGCAGTTTTCTGTCACCACTGGAGACACAGTGTACCTTCTGGAGCCCCTAAGACCACCTTTCCCCTATTACACCTGTCCCCATTCTCCCTGGTCCTCTACCACCATCCTCAAGAACCAGCGTCTCATGTCCTCTGCCCTGGAATTTATTCATGCCAAAGTAAGAAAAGCTGGAAAATGTTCCCTGCACTCCCCCCACCCCAGGAGGTTTATAAATTTGTGAAGTTTGTGGAGGGATTTCTGAGCAGAGAACTGCACTGCCTAGTTGGCTTGAAGTGGAGGCCTAGAAGTGGGGCATCCCAGCAACAATGAGTGTATCTTAGCGCCCCATTCTTGGCTTCTGAATACCATTCTCCTCTGAAGGGGACCAGGGCTGCTGCAGAAGTGTGAAAGCCTGCAACGTTGTACAAGTGTTAAAAGGACACAGGAGTCAGCTTCAAGGGACTGATTTTGGCCAAATCTGAGACATGTTGAACTTTAAAGCAATGATGATAATAGATTATAAAATAATTTATGAGGCATACTCATTTAAACATAAGTGAGGAGAAAGGGAAAGCTCCCCCTACCAGAAAAATGCCAACTAAATGTTAAAAGCAATGGTGGACTCGGGAAATTCATAATGGGTATTCAGACCGTTGGGTAAAAGCTTAATGAGGAGCAGGGTGCTTTCTCTCAAAGGAAGCTTTGCTACTTTCTCCACGAAAGTAATTAATTAGAAAGAGAAAACAGTAATTTCACAGTGGAGAAGCCTGCCAAACACTTTTGCAAAACAAAAAGCCTGCAGCTCTGCCTCTAAGGCTTCTGGAAGTCACCTGCTAAAATTCTTCAAAGAGTGACCTATGCCCCTGTGCACTCAGCAACATATGCTTGGCATGAGTCTACTTATTCCAGTTAAGAGCCTGAATACAGCTGAATCTGGCGCAGGTACACACTACTATAGGAATTACTGGCCAAAGAAGTACTTTCAACTAAAAAAAAAACCTATTTCCTATGGGTGACCATCTGCCATAGAGGTCAGACTTGGCTGTGAATTTCTGCCAAGGTGTGTCAGCTCAGGCAAGTTTCTTAACCTCCCTGAGCTACGATCTTTCATCTCTTGAATGAACCAGCAGTTCCACTCCTGGAGAAATGAAAGTGCACATCCACACAAATGCTTGTACATAAGGGTTCAGTGCTGCTTTTTTCATAATATCCCCAAAATGGAAACAGCCCAAATATTTATTAACTGGTTAGCAAAGAAAGGAACAAAACAATAACATTTTAAGAGCATTGTGCTAAGTGAAAGAAGACTTTCCCCGACAGAGGATTACACATGGCAATCCATTTAAATGGAAGTCTAGGAAAGGTAAAACTATAGTGGCCAGTGGTTACTAGGGGCCATGGGTAGAGGACAGGCTGCAGAGGGGTGATGGAAATGTTCTGGGTCATGAACACCATGATGCTGGTTACAACATTGTATTCTTTTGTCAATACCCATCAAATTGTACCATAAAAAGGTAACGTAACTTAAAAACCGTGTTATTTTCTTGTGTGTAAGCCTAATAAAACTGATGAAAAAATAATACTGATGTACATTGTCATTGTGAGGGTTAATAGGATGATATATGTGCAGCACCAAGTTCATCGCCTGGCCACAAGAGGAGTCCTAAAATGAGAACTGTTACCACATACGCTGTCTTGGGCATAAGCTGAGCAAGCGTGTAGGCAAGAGGCTCTTCCAGGGGAGCGACCCTCTCAAGACATTTGGCAGCTAAACCGAGTAACCAGATAACGCGAGGTGGAATGAGAAAAGCACAGGTTCAAGAGGAGATGCCGTGAGACTCACACTGGAAGCTGTCACCACTTGGGGCACCCAGAGCAGCAGAAGCCCCTCCTGCCCCGCGGAAATGGGTGGGCACCCCCATCTGAGGAGCCTCCCTCTGCCTTGCTCCTGCCTCGGCGTCAGGGAGTTCTGTCCTGCTGCTACTGCCCTTACCCAGCCGGAATGGTAAAAATCCATCCTGTCTGCTGCCACCGCCCATGCCTTCTGCACCTCCCTCCCACCCCACCCGGCAGCCTTGTTCCATTCATGGCCCAGGCAGAGCTCCACATCCACCCCTAGCAGTCCACATTCACTCTGGTCTGGAAGCTTTTAGCTTGAGGATCAAACCTACGGCCTCAGGAGAAGCTGGAGGGAAGGCCGAGGAAGCAAGGAAAAGACAGCAGTGCAAGAAACAGGTCTCACTGTTACAGCAAGAGACCAAGTTGTATTTATAGATGTTGTGTCTTGTTGCTTGGAAACGAGGTCTCAGCCCAGCTGCTGGCTGGGGAGGAGGGGTCTCTTTGTTGGAGCTGCTTGGGGTGACTCATCGCTACCCACTCTGGCCCCTGGGACTAGGTGAACAGTCACACGTCGTTTCAGGCTGGGTGCGGACAGCAGGGCTCTGCTGGCTGGAGAATCGCGCAGCGTGGAGAAACACTAGCTCCCAGAAGGAACAGGGGCTGCATACAGTCAGACCACCCTGGGGCTCCCGGTGCCACCCCCGGGATAGCCTTGGGCAAGTCACTTAACCTCTCTGACCTTGGCCTTCTCATCTTTAAAAGGAAATTCTGAGGGCAGCCCACAGCAGTTTAGCGCACCACCTTCGGCCCAGGGCATGATCTGGAGACCCAGGATTGAGTCCCACATCAGGCTCCCTGCGTGGGGCCTGCTTCTCCCTCTGCCTGTGTCTCTGCCTCTGTGTGTGTCTCTCGTGAATAAATGAATAAAATCTTTAAAAAAGTAAAAATAAAAAAATAAAAGGAAATTACAAGAGTGGATTTGGGATTTATAGCAGACTTCAAACACATTAACTCATCCACACTTACCCCCTGCTCCCTGTTGGACAATGAGGAAACTATACATAATCCAGGGCAAAGTTAACCAACTTTCCTAAAGTCACCTAATTTTATGTGGAAGAGGCAGGAGTTGAACCCAGGTCCGCGCAGCACAGTACTGCATGTCTTTTTCACTGTGACACTCCACCTTGTGCTCAAGTGCCTAGCCCAACAGAGGGGCTCAGGGACTGAGTTCTAGAGCTCAGGCTGGTGTGATTCTCTAGGGCAGACCCTCAGGATAGTGGGTTTGAGAAGTCTCTCTGATGTCAGGGCCATGTCTTTAGAAAAGCGCCCATGGTCTCTATACTTGGGGTGGGGGTAGCAAAGTTGCCTCCATGCCTCAGATGGTCTGCTCTTGCTGTCAGCTGTTCACTGCAAACTCCAGCTTCCTTTTTCTAGACCTGGGTCACCTCACAGGGTAGCTTCCATGTACCACAGTGTCAGTTTGGCCACCAGCTTCCAAACTATAGGAGTCAGTGTAAAGGATACAAATCTGGCCAGGTGACTGCCTCTTCTCAGAGCACATCACCGGCCCCCACTGCCCACAGGATAAAGTTTAAACTCTGTTGGGTGGCAGGCAGACAAGGCCTCCATCATGAAGCTTATGTGTCTCCAGCCCCTCCTTGTCATTCCCATCACACTTTGCTCTCCAGGCCCCAAATCCTCAAGGTGCCCCACCCCCACCCTGTACATCTCTTCCTGCAAGGTCCTCTGTGGCTGCTTGTCTGTCTGCCTCCCAAGGACACTCTCTCGGAAGCACCCTGAGGGCAAGGCACTCACACCTTCCTCCTGCAGGCTGGCCTCTGCCTAGTACCTTCTCAGAGCTTTTGCTGATTAAGTCATGAAGGGACACGTGAAGGATAAAACATTCATTTAATTTCAAAGAGCCCAACATTAGGCCTCCAACATTAGGAATTTGGGGCTATGGAATAAGGCCAGCAAGTCTCTGGTTCAAGACCCTCAACCTAATTTCATCTAGCTCTTCACACTCTCATTATCCAGACCTATTTCCCTCCAGTAGCTATACAAATGTAGCATTGTTTGAAAGGTCATAAGTAAAATGGTCATCTCAAAAAACCATAGCATTTGGGACACTCCATTCCCTTCTTAGGCCTCAGTTACCCTGTCTGCACAGTAAGAGTTGTCCTGGAGGCTGTTCTTCAAACTGTAGGTTAAGATCCATTCGTTAGTATGTAAATGAATGAAACTAGCGGGAAGTAACCTGCCTAGGAAAACAGCTTGTGTCATACATCACAAGAGTGGGTACTGATATAAGTTGAACAGGTATCTATCTATATGTTAGGACACGTTGTAAGATGTACTTCTTGCTGTGGGTAACAAGCAGAGGAGTTTGATAGCTGTACTCCCTCTGAGCCCCAAGGATCTCAGCATTTGGAACCGCAAAGCAACTGGCCCCCCCATGCAAAGACCTGTTTGTGCTGGGTGAACCCCACTGCACTAGTCATCTGCGTCCCTTCCATTGTTCTTCAGTTTGACAAAAGGAAACACTGTAAGACAAAAATGGTAAGTCCTCTTCCTCCCAACTTCAGGTCCCAGGTATATACCCCAGCACAAGCTCTGCCTACAGCCCAGTGTTCCTTGATTGGGGGGAGGGTGTGAGGCATTTTTTTCTTTTTAAGATGTATTTATTTTAGGAAGAGGAGAGAAGCAGAATGAGAGGGAGAGCAAGAATCTCCAGCAGACTCCCTGCTGAGTGCAGATCCTGACACTGGGCTGGATCACAGACCTCAGATCATGACCTGAGCCCTAATTAAGAGAGGGATACTCAAGCTACTGAGCTACCCAGGTGCTCCTCCTTGTTTTTTGAATTGAAGTATGGTTGATACACAGTGTGACTTTAGTTTCAGATGTACAAAATAGTGACTCCATAAGTCTACATGTATGCTCACAAGCATAGTTCCCATCTGTTACCATACAACGTGTTACAAGGCCATTGATGACGTTCCCTATGCATCCCTTTTTATTCCCATGACTTACTCATTCCCAAACTGGAAGTCTATATCCCCCACCCCACTTCACTCATGTTTGCCCATTCCCTTCCCCAGCAACCATGTTTGTTCCCTGTATCTATGGATCTATTTTCTTTGTTCTTTTGATTCTGCACATAAGTACAATCATATGGGATTTAACTTACTTCACTTAGCATAATACTCTCTAGATCCATGCATGTTGTCATCAATGGCAAGATTTCATTCTTTTTTATGGCTTTGAAATTACCAGATGCTCCTGGAACATCTTGTGCCATTCTTTTATTTCATTCTTTTTTATAATATTCTGCTGTATATATACCACTTCTTCTTTATCCATTCATCTACGGATTGACTTGGGTGGCTTATGCATCTTGGACATTGTCAATAATGCTACAATAAAGATAGGGGTGCATATATATTTCTGAGTTAGTGTTATTGTTTTCTTTGGGTAAATACCCAGTAGTGGGTATTTGGATCATACGGTATTGGGTCAGATGGTAATACTATTTTCATTTTTTCAGGAACCTCCATGCTGTTTTCCACAATGGCTACACAATTTGCATCCCCACCAACAGTGCACCAAGGTCCCCTACTCTCCACATCCTCACCAACATTTGTGATTTCTTATGTTTTTGAGTATTGTGTTTTGAGTTTTTGAGCCATTCTGACAGGTGTGAAGTGATAGCTCATTGTGGTTTTAATTTACATTTCCCTGATGATCAGTGATGTTGGTCATCTGTATTTTTTCTCTGGAGAAGTATCTGTTCAAGTCCTCTGTACATTTTAAATCAGATTATTTGGGGTTTTTTGGTGTTGAGTTATAGAAGTTCATCATATACTTTGAATATCAATCCTTTATCAGATATGTCATTTGCAACTATCTTCTCCCATTCCATAGGTTTTCTTTTCTTGTTTTGCTGATGGGTTTTCTGAATCCTTCCTTATATTTGCATGGAGACCATGCTTCCCAAGGGTAGTCCCAGCCAAGGACTGAACAGTCACGCTGCCCTCCCTCCCTTGGCTCACGCTGCTCTGCACTCTCTCTCAACCTCAGTGTGTTTGTGTCTTGGCTTCTCACCTCCCCTCTCTGCCCTACACTGTTTGCCTCTCTCCTTCCCAAGCTCTTCTGAAGGCCAGTCCAGTTTGGCATTCTCATTTAACCAAGTTAAATCTGATTGGTGCCTAGACCCTACTTTCTAAATACCATTCTCCACGAAAACAAACCAGGGCTCATAGAGAAACTGTTGACTCCTGGGCTGGGAGGAAAATTACCAGATGGGCCTGGAACTTCTTGTGCCAGACAGTAAGGAAGTGCTCCAGGAATGATGGCGGTGTGTCAAAGAGCACAGGGGCTACCTCAGATGAGCTCTCAATAGCCAACTCTGGTATCATATGAGCACAAAATAATAGTAATATCTAAGAGACCATCCATAACGATAGAAAAATAATGGACTGAGGTACATAAATGGGGGAAAGAGACAATTTCTTTTTACAGCAGAATTCCCATTAATGGAGAAAGAACAGTGGAAATAGAAAAATCACTATTTGGTAAAAAGCTATGGCAGTTAACTGTTGCAAACAAGAATCCTCAAGGGACACTAAATTAGTGGGAAAAAGTATGAAGGAGATAGGATATTTATATAGTCACAAAGCATCTCCCCATAGAATATTTATTAATTACAAAGGAAAACAGTGACTTTATAGCAGAGAAACCTCAGGGAGACACCACTTTTACCAAGTGATCAAAATTATTATGACCGGTACTAGCCACACCAACACCACCTGATACCGTATCCTGAGAAGGGCACATCACTTCTGTGGTATTCTTGCCAAAAATGCATGACGACTTCAATCTAGTAAGGAGAAAACAGTGAGATCTGTCCTACAAAAGAACTGGCCAAAGTGTTGCACTGAAAGGAGAGATGGAGGATTGTCCCAGGTAGGAGTGGAAGGGAACAGGACAACTAGATGCCGCGTGGGGTTTGAATGGGGTCCTGGACCAGAAAAGGATGCTAGTGGGACATTTGGCAAAATTCAAATAAAGTTAGTAGATGAGTGAACAGTGTTGTATCATTGTTAATCCCCTGGCTTTGGTCCTTCTACTGTGGTTAACATTAGGGGAATCTGAGCAGAGGGTGCTATCCTGGCAACTTTTTTCTAAGTCTAAATTTGCAAAATAAAAAGTCCGCATGCTGGTCAACAGTCTATGGGATGGCAATCAACTTTCAACTGGCCTTCTGACCTATCAGTTGTTAGCACTGCCCACTGCTGAGAATGTTAAGCATTCTGAGGTCTCCTTCACTCCTGGGGGTGGTTGAAGAGGTCTGCAGGGTGGGGGTGAGGAGAATGGAATGGGAGGGAGGTAGAGTGCATGAACTTGTTGGTGGGTACAGGACACTTACAGGTGTTCCTGACACCCTTCTGTAGGCTTGAAATGTTTTTAAATAAAAAATGTAAAGTAATATGTATGTGACAGAATTCAAACAGCACTTGAGTGAAGAGCAAGTCCTCTTCCTATCCTCAATTCCTCTCGTCCTCCCCTACTCCAGGTAATTACAGTTACCGGGATTCAATGCACATTGCATATAAGCAAACAGGTATGTGGATTTCTTGCTTACGGAGGTTGAGGGTTCTGTCTTAGGTCAAGGGCGGCAAGAGGAGTCATGAAGATTGAGAACTAGGAAGTCTCTGCCAACAGGCGAAGGAGGCCCTTTTCTGCTGTGCTTCGTACTGAAAAAAAGAATAGACATGTCTTGATACCATCAAACACATTTTTCATATTGCAATAGGTTGCAACCTATTAGTAGTTGAGAAAATCAATTTTGTGTTTCATGATCATCATTTTTTAAAAAACAGAAAAGGAACAGACAATGGCAAGAGTACATCAACTGTAATGGAGCAGATAGTTTTGTGAAACTTGGCTGCAATGTAAAATATATTTCTTACTGAGGGTTGAGGTTAAAAAAAAAGTTTCAAAAACCCTGCCCTAAACAACAAATGGCATAAGGCCAGAACCTGGATCACCAAGATGGCTTTTCCAGGGCTGCAGATCATGGGGCCTGTCACGTTCCCGGGAGCAACAAGGCAATAAATCTGCAGCCTGACTTCCTTGATACTGTGTGTTCGAACTAGCTGGTTAATGGGTAACGGGCAGCAACAACCACTTAGCTGCCCCACAGCGGGTGGCCTGGAGTGCAGGTAAGGGCGGCTCTCCTGCTGGTTGACAAACCCTGGGGTAAGACCTAGTGGGGCTGGAATGGCTCCCCAGGGTGGGAAGCCCCCATAAGGATGGAGGCCCACCACCCCCTCCCCAGCGCAAGATCTGCAATGACAGAGCTGCCTGCTTAACAGTCAGGGCCCTGAGCACCAGCCCCCAATGTGGGCAGCACACCTGTAAAGGTTCAGATAGATGGTACAGGCTTCAGGCTTTGGGGGCCACACGCTCTCTCATAATTGCTCAACTCTGATGTTCCGCACAGCAGTCATGGACAGACATAACGAATGTTCCAGTGAAACTTCATGGACGCTGAAGTTAGAATTTTACATAATCTTGTTACAAAATAATCTCTTCGTATTTTTCAACAGTCACAAAATGTAAAAACCGTTCTCGGCTCCTGAGCTAAACAAAAATCATAAAAATCATAAAGCAGGCCACATCAGGCCGAAGAACTGGAACGCTTACTTCGGACCTTGCCCTTTCTCCCCCCGCCCCCGCCCTCCTTTCCCCTCCCCCCCGTCCCTCCCCCCGCCCCCGCCCCCGCCCGCTCCCCCAACCCGCCCCAGACGCGGCGGGCGGCGCTGACTCACCGGCTGACTCAGCGGGAGGCGCGCAGCCGGCAGACGCCGGGGAGGGCGGGGAGGGCGGGGGCCGCTCTCCGCGGGAGCCGCCTTCCGCTTCCGAGCTCCGCGCCGCGGGACGGAGGAGCGCCCGGAGGACCGCCCGGAGGAGGACGCGGCGCACGGCGGCCAGAGGCAAGGCCGGAGGGAGGGCCCCGGAGCCCGCGCCCCGCCCCGCCCCGAGCTCCACGAGCCCTCGCCCCGCGCTCCGCCCCGCGCTCCGCCCCGCGCTCCACGAGCCCTCGCCCCGCGCCCCGCCCCGCGCCCCGCCCCACGCTCCACGAGCCCTCGCCCCGCGCTCCGCCCCGCGCTCCGCCCCGCGCTCCGCCCCGCGCCCCGCCCCGCGCTCCACGAGCCCTCGCCCCGCGCTCCGCCCCGCGCTCCGCCCCGCGCTCCACGAGCCCTCGCCCCGCGCTCCGCCCCGCGCTCCACGAGCCCTCGCCCTGCGCCCCGCGCCCCGCGCCCCGAGCGCACCCCGGGCCCGGCCTCCCCCGCCTCCTCCGGGAAGCCTTCCCAGAGGACCTCCTGCGGGCTGGGTGACCTGTGGGAACCTCCGCCCTGGCCCCCTCGGCACTGCTCCCTGCCGGCCTGTTCGGGGTCCGGCTCCATCACTGGACCGGGCGCCCCTTAAGGAGAGCGGCGGGGCCCTCGTGTGCGCGTAAATAGAGACGAGGGGGAGGGAAAGGATTCACGTGACCTACTTTAGCAGTCCAGCCTGGGAACCCCCCAAGCCCGTAATAATATGTTAAAAATAATTATACACATACATGTGTATGTGTTACTTTAACATAGAAATATGAAAAACATTTATTTGGAATGATATACATTAGAACTATAAATATCATTAAAATATGAAAAATAGGGGCGCCCGGGTGGCTCAGTCGGTCAAGTACCTGCTCTGGCTCCTGTCGCGATCCCAGGGCCTGGCATCCGCCCTGCGTGAGGCTCTCTGCCCAGCACGGAGTCTGCTTCGCTTTCACCCCGCTGCTGTGTCTCCTCGTACTCTTTCTCTCTCTCATTCTCTGTCAAATAAAATCTTTTAAAAATATATGAAAAATAGGTGTTTGGTGCAAATTATATTCTGTGTTATTTGCCTTTGTGTTACATAAATGCTATTACTTGAACACTAGGATTAGTAACAATGGCAATCAGTAGGACTACTTTATGAGAAATATAAAAATAGTTACATGTTTCTATTCTTTAATACAGCAATTTATTTTAACTCATTGGATACTTAAAATTTGTATTAGGATACATACATGTAAAAAGCTACATACGGTATGATTCCATGACATTCTTAAATGACATTCTGCAAAAGGCAGAAGTATGGAGACAAAAAAAAAAAATCAGTAAGAGGCACTTGGATAGCTCAGTCCTTAAGCAGTCTGCCCTCAGGTCATGATCGCAGGATTCTAGGACCTGGATCAGATAGCAATGGAGCCCCCCCCCCCCCCCCCGCATGGGGCTCCTGGCTCAGTCAGGAGCCTGCTACTCCTTCTCCCTCTGACTAGCCCCCCTCCCCACTCTCTCTCACTCTCAGATAAATAAAATATTTCCCCCAAAAAACGTCAGTAGTTGCCAGGGATGGTTGGGGGAGGCAGGGCTAAATAGATGAAGCACAGATGATTTTAGGGCAGTGGAAATACTCTATATGATACTATAATGATGGATACATCTCATTATACATGTGTCCAAACCCATAGAATGTACCACAGTAGGGGTAAACCCAAATGTAAACTATGGGCTTTGGCTGATTATGATGTGTAGGTTTATCAGTTATGACAAATGTACACTCTGTGGGGATGTTGATGATGGGTTGGAAGGTTGAGGAGTATATGGGAAATCTCTGTACTTTCCCCTTAATTTGCTGTGAGCCTAAAACTGCTCTACAAAAATAAAGTCTTTCTTTTTTTAAGGATACATACATGTAAGACTTTTTAAGATTGTAAAAACAGGAAGACTAGTTAAACATAGTACCAATATTTAGTAAAAAATAATGACATTTCTGTCCTATAATGCAGAGGAGAATTTTACCTCTTTCTTCTATTTCCTTGCCAGAAGCCTTTAGGAAATCCTTCTCTAATGTTAGTGATCAAACTGAATATGGCCAACATAAAATTCTTTAAGACTTGCAGTGCTGCTCTTATTAAGCGCACATTACACTAATTCCTGCCATCAGTCCAATGTGATGGCATCAAGCTAACGATCCTCTCAACAAAATCACTTGAGCATGGAATACTTAGGATCTTACTAACAACAGCAGGTTTTTAGACTTGTACAGATTAGCTTCAAGCTCTCCAAAAATTCCCAACCTCTTTGTAACTATTAGTTGGTTAGAACAGCTTTTTGTCAGCTCCTTTGCATCTAAAGGAGCTGCATCCTTTTTAAACATTTTGAAGCACACTGGGTGTCATAAGTTAAAGCTTTCTTGTGCACTCTCTCTTGTGGGTATGTGTGTATGTGTCTCAGGGAAAATGGCTTTTATTAAAGCACAGAGATATCTGAACTTGTGATATTAAAGTCGGATTACAAGTTCCAGTCTTAGGAAAGAAGTGAGAAAGCCTGTTTAAACTGGTTGTCCTCTTCTGGTGACATTTTATTTTATTTCCCCAAAACTGAGTCAGTTTTTATTCACGAGCTTTTGTTACTTCCTACACAGAACATTGAACAATGCAGGTGCATTCAGATTATCCTTTTTTGAGGATTCTTCTGGCCTCTTCAAAGATCATCAAACAGTTTTGGAAGAACCATTCATAAATTTCCATTTGAATGCAATCCTTGTCTCCCTTCTCAGTATTATTCTTAAATTAGAGGACATTCTTCTTGTCCTACACTTTGAAAATATGATTTGATGGTAGCCTAACTTTTTACCATCTCTTCCTCTATGACTAGCAATGATGACAGCCCTCTTGTTAGACACACGCCTGAAGGAGACTGCCTCCTTCCATTTCTAAAACATCAAATAGCTCATTAAGGGATATTCCATGTTTTGAGGAAACTAAGAAATAACCAAACCTGTCATTGGGAAAAGCCTCAGTATCACAGGAAGCAAACCACATTCCTTGAACTGTGGGTGTACAAGGTGTGCAGGACATTTAGCAGGTAAGATCTTTTTGTTTTCTTTGGTAAGGGTTCATCGACTGAACAGAATTTGCAAAAATTTATACTTGCACTGTCAAATATGCAGACAGATGGTCAAAGTCTCCTTTGTATTTGTATATCATTGACATTTTAAAATATTTTTCTGGGGGCACCTGAGTGGTTCAGTGGTTGAGCATCTGCCTTTGGCTCAGGTCATGATCCTGGAGTCCTGGGATCAAGTCTCACACTGGGCTCCCCTTGAGGAGCCTGCTTCTCCCTCTGCCTGTGTTTCTGCCTCTCTCTGTGTCTCTCATGAATAAGCGAAATCTTTAAAGTAAATAAATTTTTTCCCTGAAGTTTCATTAAAATCCTCACAGAAATAAAAAAGACCATTTGAAACTCCACTTTTCAAATCAAAGTGCCTGAGAAGTAAGAGAGCATTTCTTTATTGCCATGATTGGACTCAGCCTTGGTGTACTTGGTGTACAGCATGATTGTTGGTGGGATCTGACGTGCTGTAAAGGGCCAGCACATCTGTTACCAGATTTCACCTATGGTTCATCCACAGGGTATTTCAGGTACAGCCTCTGAATGAATGTCCGTTACTTGGTGCCATAGAACAATCAAAGGAGTGATGCATTCAGCCACGTGGTAAGCCCATGCTAATTCAGCGGCTACTATTTTCAACTGAGAATTGGTGTCACTGAGTAGACCAAAAAAAAAACAAAAAAAAAACCCTTTTGATTAATTTAGAAGTACTTGCCTATTTCCTTGGGGAATCTGTGAGAATCAGTTTCTTCATGGGCTCCTACATTCTTCTCCCCCCACTCTCAGCCCAAGCCCCAAGTCCTCTCTGCACATGCTGCAGTATGCCCTTTGTGACCATTTACCTCCCTAACACAGTTGTGTGTGTATCTAGCTGCTGCTGAAATAACAGTTGTTTAGCTTTCTGAATGACCTTGATGTCTGGTTCATGCTGGCATTAGTCCTCTTCTGGTAATCATGCTCATGTTCATCATCTGAACTCTTAAAAAACATGGTTGCAATATGCATCATGTTAAAAATTAAACCAGCACTGTCTAGATACAAAGCATAACAGTTAATCCACAGGCAAAGTGGATGTTCGTGTTCCAGATTACAGCGCACTATAGTCACCCAGTGGTGTGACAGTGGATGATGCATGATCACGAACTGCAGATTGTGGCTGTCAGCAGCGGCAGCAGGTACTAGCGAAATCAGTGCTGCTTTCAGCCCCCCTTGGGGTCACCTTTGTGTTTTGTACCTTTCTTTTTTTTTTTTTATGATAGTCACACACACACAGAGAGAGAGAGAGAGGCAGAGACACAGGCAGAGGGAGAAGCAGGCTCCATGCACCGGGAGCCCGATGTGGGATTCGATCCCGGGTCTCCAGGATCGCGCCCTGGGCCAAAGGCAGGCACCAAACCGCTGCGCCACCCAGGGATCCCCCTGTTTTGTACCTTTCCCCTAACCTTCTGTACCTATTAAAACCAGGAGTTTCATTCCAGGAAGAGCTTACCAGATGTTGGCCTTTTAGTGATAGAATCAGAATAGTCCCAGACAAACGGGGATGGTCGGTCACCCCAGCACATGCTTGTGGAATCAAGAAGTCAAAGATGTATGTACAATATGGTATGATCTTACTTACACATGGAATCTAAGATTCTATGAGTTCATCATAAATTCAAACACAAATCAGTTGTTCCCAGAGGTGGGGGATGTGAGGGAAGATGGTCAAAGGGGACAAACTTCCCATTATAAATAAGTTCTGGGGATGTAATGTGCAACATGGTAAATATAGTTAATCATTCTGTGTTATACTTATGAAAGTCATGAAGACACTAGATTTTTAAAAATCTTTTTTTTTAAAAAAAGAATTTTATTTATTTATTCATGAGAGGCATAGAGAGAGAGGCAGAGACATAGGCAGAAGGAGAAGCAGGCTCCTCAAGGGGAGCCTGATGTGGGACTCCATCCCAGGACCCTGGGATCACAACCTGAGCCGAAGGCAGATACTCAACCGCTGAACCACCCATGCACGCATCCCTAGATTTAAAAAATTCTTATCTCAGGAGAAAAATTGTAACTATGCGAGGTGATGGATGTCAACTAAACTTATTGTGGTGATCATTTTGCATATATATGTATATTACATCATGTTGTATTCCTTTATCTAATACCACGTTATATGTTAGTTCCATCTCAATAAAAATGAAAAAAGTAAGTCTCAATATAAAACAATCAATTGTATTTCTATATATTAGCAACAAACTTATAAATTGAAATATGTAGAATGCCATTTACAATAGCATTTTAAAAAACATAAAATAAATAGGGATAAATTTTTTAAAGACTTTTTTTAAAATTTTTTTTTCAATTTATTCATTTATGATAGTCACAGAGAGAAAGAGAGAGAGACAGAGACACAGGCAGAGGGAGAAGCAGGCTCCATGCACCAGGAGCCTGACGTGGGACTCGATCCTGGGTCTCCAGGATCACGCCCTGGGCCAAAGGCAGGTGCCAAACCGCTGCGCCACCCAGGGATCCCAAGTAGGGATAAATTTAACAAAATATGTTCAAGATCTATATACTAAGAACTACCAAACATTGAGGAGACAAGTTAGCAAAGACCTAAATAAATGGAAATGTCATGCTAACAGATCAGAAGACCCACCATTAAGATGTCTCTTCTCTCCAGATTGTTCTTTATAATCAACTCAAGCCCATTCAAAATCCTAGCAAGCTTTCTTGTTTTAAAGAAATTGATAAGCTGAGTCTGAAATGTGAATAAAAATGCAAAGGATCTAGAATAGCCAAAACAAAAAATAATAAAGCTGGAAGATTTATACTACTTGATTTCATGACTTACTAGAGTCTAACAACAGCAATTAAGATAGTATGATAGAGGCAGGAGGATGAACAGATCAGTGGAGTGCAGAAGTAGACACATGCATATATGGTCAATTGATTTTTGACAAACTACCAAAGCAACTTAATGGGGGAAAGGATGGTCTTTTCAACACAATGCTGAAAACCTAAATATCCAGATAGAAAAAAAGTGAATCGACCCTGCCTCACATCATGTAAAAGATTTACAAATTCAAAATGCTTTGGAGGTCCAAATATAAAGCTAAAACCATAACGCTTCTGGAAGAAATCATAAAGGAAAAACTTTGTGACCTTGGATAAGGCAGATTTCTTAGGTAGACCCAAGAATGCTAACCAAAGAAAACTGAAAATGGACTTTATCAAAATTAAAAACATTTGCTCATCAAAAGAAACTGTTAATAAAAGACAAACCAAAGTCTGAGAGAGAATTTTTGCAGAATACTTACATGACAAAGGACTTACTGCCAGAATATATAAAAATCCTCAAAACTCAATTTTTAAAAATAGGCCAAATATTAAAACAGACACATCACCAAAGAGGATACATGAATGGCAAATAGGCACATGAGAAGATGCCTAGTATCATCAGTGATTGGGGAAATGAAATGAGATACTGCCACACACCTATTAGAATAGTTAAAAATAACAAAATAAAAAACCTGACCACACAAGTGCTGGGGAGGAAGCAGAACACCTGGAACAGTCATATTTTGCTAGCGGAAATGCAAAATAGTACAGCCACTTTCTATAATAGTTTGTTTCTGTTCTTTAATAAAAGTAAATGTACTTACCACATGACTCAGCAATCCCAATCCTAGAGACTTGCCCAAGAGAAATGAAAACATATCCACACAAAGACCTGTACATGAATGTTCCAGAAGCTTTATTTAAAAATAGCCAAGAAGTGGTGAATGGGCAACCAATTGTGGTACAGCCATATAATGGAAACTACTCAGCTATAGAAATTACTGGTTTGCACATCCACATGGAAGGATCTTAAAAGCTTTATGTTAAGTGAGAGAAGCCAGTCCTAAAAGGCTACTTACTGTAGGATTCCATTTATATGCCATTCTAGAAAAAGTAACAGAAACCAGATCAGTGGTTGCTGGGGCTGGCAGTGGAGCACAGGGGACCTTTGGAAGGTGACAGGAATGTCCCATAAATCATAATTGTGGTGGTGGTGACACTATTACATGCATTTGTCAGAACATTTAAAAATCAAATTTTATTGTAATAAATGTACATATGTACATTATTCCTCAAACCTGATTTTTTTTTAAAGTCAATATGTCATTGTGCTATTGACATCAGACTATATACATATCCATCCACCTCTGTTCCTTCCCAGGGGGCTTCTGGTTTCTCTCTTCCCTGCCATCCCTGGGCTGAGCCTACTGACCATCCCCAGGGCTTCCCCACCAGAGAGAAGGGACAAGACACCAGGGAGTGGGCCTGGGGTGAGCGCCAGCCACATTCCTGGGAGCCTTCCCTACCACCACCCTGATCATGAAAGGTAGCTCAAGTTGGGATCTGCCACCTACGATGAGATTTGGGGTCAGTGCTGGATAAGAGCACAACCCAGCCCCAGGGGGTTTAGGGGTGCTCCAAGCATAGACAGCAGCTGGCCCTTCCTCTCCCTCTCCTGCCCCACCCCCCATGCCTTCACAGGCATTTATGAGAGGGAGCACCTATTTCCTCCTGGGCCCTGATCCTCACAAAGCTTCATGTGGCACCTTGCTTTCTCTCCAGGATACCTGGGGAGCCAAGAGAGGACATTGCTGTTGATTGATCACCTAAGTCTCTGTCTACCTTGTAGAAAATATTGAATTTAATTCTCATAACAACTGCCCGATGTGCATACTATTATTGGCCTCATTTTACAGATGTGGAAACTGAGGCTAACGGAAGGACCCAAGTTGTTTAAACCCTTGTTAGCCTGACACCACAGATGAGATCTTTGAATGCCCCACTGGGCGATGCCATCTCGGAGGTCAGGCTTTCTTTCTACTCCCGGCTCCAACTCCTCTTCCCCCCACCCCCACCCCTATACCTTTGCTTCTTACTCCTCCGCCCACATCCTCACAAATGAGTACATTCCCTGCACACAGATGTCCTTCCTCTCTCTGAATCACAGCTGCCTGTGGTACCCAATTCCTGCTCTGGCTTCAAGAGTTGGCCTGACTGAATTCAGGCCCAATAGGATGACTCACATGTAGGAAGGAAAACCCCAGTGTCAGACAAGGCAAATCAGCCACCAAGTGGCCACCAAGCCAGGTGAGGCTGCCCCTTGCAACAGCAGCCAGGACCCTTCCTGAGGACTAGAACAGTGGCCCCTGCTGGAAACCTGTTGCCAGTGAGCAGACACCTGGATTCCTGGCAGCACTCTCTAGGTGATGGCAGCCTTTCAGCCAGCACAAAGTTGGGGAATAGCTGGGGGGGGGGCTCCTTGCTTCGGGGTTCCCTGCACTGCCAGCTACGAGGAGGCCACGATGCAGGCACCCCTACTGCAGTGCCCCAGCAGGCCAACAAGCATGAGGAGCTCTGCTAGAGGAATCCTCCTGTCCTCCTCTGGGCAGCCTTCAAGGCCCCCAGCACTGGTCACTTCTCCAACTGCAGTTGCCCTGGCTCTTCTAGATGCCAGTGCTTTGGGCATCTGAGCTGGCTTGGATGTGGGTGCTTCAGGCAGAGTACATGATCCATGTTCAGGTTCAGTGTGTGTCTCCCCATCCAGTGCTCACAGTAGACTGAGGGCTCTAAAGCTCTACTCCTGGGGATTGGGGTAGAGAATCTGATTGGCTCCTGGGTCAGGTGACTTTCCTGGGCAGGCCTAGAGGCCAAAGGGGCAGGGTACATGACCCTGCAGGGGTTATGGCTTTGAGGGGTGTGGTCAACCCTTTAGGGGAGCAGGTATAGTAGCAGGAAATGGATTATGACCCCACACAGTTGGTACAGGGAAGCAAGATGCCTAATAGATGTCGACAGACTTAAGGACTGGACCTTGTACTTCTGCTATTCTCTTTCCCAGCATCCCAGGCACAGACTGACAGGAGCCTTTCCAGAACCCAGTTTGCTTTTCTCACTTGTTTACAAAGGTGGCCAAGAGGTGCCAGGAAGCCTGTCACTTAGCAGCTTGGTGAATTTGGGCAACTAATAACAGATTTCTGAGCATCCTCATCTGCAAAGTAGAGCTGATAAGAGTGGCTATGTGCCATTGTGTTGGGGCAGTTACAGGACGTTGGAGCGGAGGGCCTAGCTGAATGGCCAGCATTCACATGGCTGGGACCCTTAGAGGTGTGTCTTTTCATCACAGGAATTGGAAATTGGGATGGTGCGTCCCTATGTAATTGACAGTGTTTCTATTATACTGCCCCATAAAATAGGTACATCTTATAATTAATGGCATCCGAGATTTGGTGAAATATGGAATCATTACCAGTTGTGCCAATCTGGGGAAAACTACAATGTCTCTGAGTAAAAATGTCCCCATCTGCAATATAGACACAATGTTCCTCCTTCAGCCAGCCACTCTGAGGTCAAAATGAGACTGTGCTTGTAGACAGTTTGACACTGCCCATCCCTCACCTCCCTCCCTCCTGGATGGCACCAATTGGTGGACAAAGGTGGGCTTTGGGCAAACAGGGCCATCATGAGCTAGGAGCCTGTTTGTTTATCTGTGGAGGGGGAGGCCTCAGCACTGAGGGCCAAGCAAATATTTGAGGTTATGGATTAACTCACTCAAAGTCCAGGCTGTCATGGCGGTGGGACAGCAACCGAGCAGTTTCTTCCCGGCCCACCCCAGTAAGTCCACTTCGTGGCAGGTTTGGTGAGGAGGATGGAGGAGGGATGAGCAGATGTGAAGGTTGAATCCTCCAGCCAGGGTTCCAGAGGCTGTCTAGCGCTTGGGCGAATGGGAACTCAGGGCTCTGCCACCAGCCAGGCCACGGCGCTGGCTGGCATTCCTCAGGCCTGGGTGCCACAGTCCAACGGACCTTCTTCCCAGACTTTGAGGCAAGTGGAAGTCATCTGAGGACTTCCAGGGCCCAGGGATGTTGTCAGGGCCAGCTTGGAGCCCAGGACTCTCCATTCTCCCCACCTGATCCCCACCTCTATACCTGGGGGTCTGATTTAAACAAAAGTCAGCAGCAGCCACCAAGGGAGTCAGTGAAGATGGAAAGTCAGCTCAGATGGAGGGTGGGGGGGAGTTGCAGATGGGACAAGCAGGTTGATCCACCAGGCTTGGAGGCAGTGGAAGGCTCACTCCTCAGTTTCCTGTTGGCAGTGCTACTGATGGGGCTCTGTGGGGCACCCAATAGTTTGGGGCAGGGGATAAGAATCCAGGCCTGGAGCCACATGGGCCTGGGCTCAGATCCTAGTTCTGTCATGTCCTGATTGTGGGTTCTCAGTAAGCCACTTCCCTTCCCTAAGCTTCAATGTGGCCTCTATGAAATGGGGTGATGGCATCCATACCTCCCTCATGGGCATTGTGAGCTTTACCTGAGATAATAAGAGCTAATATTTCCTGAGCATCTGGTGTGTATAAGCCCTGTCTTAAGAGCATTCTGTGGATTAACTCATTTAATACTCACAATAACCCTATAGGGCAGACATGCAATTTTTCTAACCAAGAAACTGAGGCATGGAACAGTTAGGTATCTTACCCCGTGTTGCTGTCCTGGAGCTGGAATTTGCATCAATTAGTCTGACTTGCTGGCTGGCCTTCTACACCATGCACAAATTGCTTGAAAAACACCATGAATGTCCAATAAATGTTAGTTCTGACTCTTAGGCTGGCTCTTAGATCAGTGAAGGCACCGCCCCCTGACCCGCACAAAGAACAGGGCCAAGGAAGGTACTTGCCATGGCCCTTTTGTACTGAGGCCCCTTGGATCTTCCCTAGGACTCCGTGCCCTTTCCACTTTTTCTCTTCACCCCTCAAACTCTGGGCAACTGCTGTGACCCTAGCCCTACCCGGGCAAGGACCCCAAGGTGCCAGTGACTGTCTGGCTACTGAACAGGGATCCCCCAGCCGCAGCCCTCACGTTCAGCTCCCATCTGGGACCAGGCAGCAGGCAGAACAGGAGCTGGTGGGGCTGCTGGAAGCTCAGAAGTCCTCCTCAGACAGGTGTCAGCAACTCCAGAATGTGGCAGCTCGCAAGCCTCTCGCTATTGTTGACCATCTGGGGAACTTGCAGCACAGCAGCTCCTCCTGGTAAGGCCACTCTCCTCCTTCGCTGGGACCTGTGGGGCCTTGGGGCAGCCTTCTCTGGAGCCTGTGCAAGGCCCTCTACCTTGCAGCCTCTCTTCTGAGCCTCAGTGTGACATGAGAGGCACCGTGGGGAGGAACTGCCTGACAGTCCCCTGCTGGCCAGTTCTTGGCATCCAGCAGCTGCCCCCATCTGGGCAGGCGGGTAGGGGGTGGGTAGTACCAGTGACAGCAGAGTACTGTGGTAAAAGCTTGGAGCCCCTGGAGGGCAAGTCCTGAAGCTCCTTCCTCCAGTCTGGGAGTGGGCTGCAGAGTCCTCGGGGCCTTTCTCCTCCCCCTACTCACTCCTTCAGCTGTGAAAGCCCCATGAGGCCACCACCCAAGCTGCTGCCACAGGGCAGCCTCCCTTCCAAGGCACGTGTACAGTGACTGCCCTGCCCCATCCCTCCCTGAGCTCCCCCGCCCCCCTCCACCCCAACAAACTGGGTGTGCAGCAGGCCTGAGGGGGAATGAGCTGCTGGCATCTTCCTGAAGCTCCCCACCACACACTCATTCTGTTGCTGGCATTTGAGCCTCTTCTTGAGCTGCTTGTCTGCCTGGGGTGCCCACCGACTCCCACCCATGATCCACTTGGCTCCTATGACCAGACTTGGGTCAGATGCTTTTCTTTCCTGGCCTGTGCACTCCCCTGACTTGGTCTCTCCACCTCAGCAGGGCCCAACAGACACCTCTTAGAACCCGAGACAGGTCTGCTGTCCTGCAGGTCTGCCCAGCAGTGGAGGGAGGTCAAGTAGAGGTGGGGAGGGAGGAGGGATGGTGTCAACAGAGGGTTGCACAGGGGTACTCTGAGAGTAATGAGACAGGGTGATGGTCCTGCTAATAACAACAGCATACCACCAACATGTGTCACTGGGTGCTGTTTGACACCATTATCTCATTCTTGTGTTTGGATGAACAAACAGGTTTAGAGAGGCAAAGGCACTGGCTCAAGGTCCCATGGAGGTCAGGCTGGGTCCAAAGGGAAGGCTGTCTATCCAGTACACGCACTCTGAGTGGCCAACTCTCCCACCTCTCAAGGCTGGCTATCCACTGTGTGTGGAGGAAGAGAGCAGATGAGCTGGGTTAAGTCCTGAAGGCCTGAGACGAGAACACCTCCTGGGGCTTACCACAGAGTGGTCCCTACCTCAGACCCCTCCCTCTAAGTGAGCTTCCCCTCTCTCCAAACCAGGCTCAGTGTTCTCTAGCAGTGAGAGCGCCCACCAAGTCCTGCGGATTCGCAAGCGCGCCAACTCCTTCCTAGAGGAGATCCGGGCAGGCAGCCTGGAGAGGGAGTGCGTGGAGGAGATCTGTGACTTTGAGGAGGCTAAGGAGATTTTCCAAAATGTGGATGACACAGTAAGGCCATCCAGTGGCTGGGTGCAGGCTCAGGGGCTGGCTGGTGGCCAGCAGGGGTCTGGAGGAACAAGCTGGTGCCCCAGTGCTGAAGCCCTCTTGGGAGTCTGGGGAGGCAATGGGCACCAACCCCTTCTCCATTCAGCCTGCTGTGTGTGGTGTGGGGGTGAGTGGAATGAAGAGTACACTGGCCCTATGGTCTTGGTCAGGCACATGTGACTGCAAGGAACAGAACTCTGTAATTAAAAAAAAAAAAAAAGAAGAAGAAGAACTCTGCAGTTAACTCCAGGAATAGAGTTTGGGGAAGCCTTAGGCTGGGATTCCCAAAAACCCCACTGAAGAAGTTCAGCCTGCCGTCTGCCCACAACTGGCCACTACTGCCTCCCCTGTTCTCTGTGACCAAAATGCCCCTTCTCTGTTTCCAGCCATGCACCTGCAGATCAGGGTGTGTGTGGCCCAAGACTCCCTGATGTCTGTCTACATACACTCCCTCTGTGCCTCAGTTCAAATTCTCAAAGGGCAAAATCTGATTGCTCAGGGGATCAGAAGGAAGAGTCCAGGTCCTCTCTGACTCCTGGAGCCTGATAGTAGCAGCCCTGAGGTGGAAGGATGGATTGTGAAGGGAAGTAGCTCTCTGATACAAGGCTCAGACCCACTGCATCCCCAGGGGCTTACTTGAGCAACTAAGACCAGGAGTTGTGCTCCCACCTGGGGTTTCATGCTAAGCTGTCTGTAGGGAGGCCCTTCCTTCCCATTTAGTGCTTCCAAGGCTAAGGGGGCAGCTCTGGTCTGCCCCTTCAGCTGCTACCTCCTTGCCTCAATCCCCACTGCCTCTTTCAACACACACCCAAAAGACTTTCTGCAGCCACAATCTGAGCAGCTTACCTTAAGTCTCCTAGGCCCAGCAGGGCAGAGCCACTGCTACAGGGGCTTGATGCTGTAGGCATCCAGCCACGGATCTCAGGTGTGGTGTCCCAGATCAGTAGCAGCAGTGGCAGGGACTTGGAGAGACAAGCAGATCTTCTGAACCAGCAATCAACATCTGACCAACAAGGTCTCAACTCTGAGCACACTGGCTTAGGGGAAGACCACATACAGGAGAGGCCCAGAAAAGCCTAAAGGAGTGATGGGGGTTGGAAGGAGGCAGAGCTGCTGGGTGGGAGATTTGGGTCCCTTCCCTCACACAGTCCATACCTTGGGCTTCCAGCTGTGTTTGGGGGGTGGGGATGGAGGGGTGCATGGGATGTGGGTGGAGACGGGCCACAGGGGACAAGGAGTGTGGCCATCCTCCTGCGCAGCTACACCTTCACCAGCGGCTGGCAGCAGGCAAGCAGGGCTAGAGCCCTCTTGTCCAGAAGCCCTTCCCCCTGCAGCCCCACCTGGGCCAGACTCAGGAGGCGCCCCACGGGCTCCCCCATACAGAGGAGCTGATGGCCTAAGACCCTGTCTCTGTTCCTCCACAGCTGGCTTACTGGTCCAAGTATGTCGGTGAGTGCGCTCTAGAGCCCAAGCTGCCGCCCCCCGCCCCCGCTAGGGTCCCTGAGTTGCTGCAGGGGCCGGGAAAACGCGGCACAGTGACGCCCCTCCTCCCATGTCGCAGACGGGGACCAGTGCGCGGCCCTGCCCCCGGAGCACGCGTGCGATAGCCCGTGCTGTGGACACGGCTCCTGCATCGATGGCATCGGTGCCTTCCACTGCGACTGCGGCCGGGGCTGGGAGGGCCGCTTCTGCCAGCACGGTGAGAGGGCGGCGGGGAGGTGGGGAGGCGGGGGCCAGGAGGGAGGGGCGCGGGGGGGGGAAGCACCGTGCCACCGGCCCTCCTGCTCCTCCTCCCTCCCCATCCACCCAGAGGTGAGCTACACCAACTGCTCGCTGGACAACGGCGGCTGCTCGCACTACTGCCTGGAGGAGGAGGGCGGGCGCCACTGCAGCTGCGCCCCGGGCTACAGGCTGGGGGACGACCACCTGCAGTGCCAGCCCACAGGTGAGCCCCACCGCCCTGTCCCTGTGCTGGGATGGGCACAGGGAGGTTCCCTGGGAGGGGGCAAGGAGACCGGCTGCGCCGGGTGCTCCGGGTGCAGTCAGCCCAGGAGTTGGAGCGTGCCCTTGGGTCACTTGCCCTCGCTGGCCGGCCCTCCTCCAGGTGCCCCCGCTCACCTTGGGGACAGTTCTGGAGGAGCATGAGCCCATAGGTAGCTCCTCTCCTCTCGGAGCAGCTGTAGTGGACCAGGCCTCCAGCATCTTCCTCCATCTACCTTGGATGGCTTTATTTTCTGAAGACACCTTGTCCAGCTTGGCATCCCAGTTCCCCTCTCACCTTTGGCTTCTCTGAGGAGAGACAGGAACCAGAGACAGGAGAGTCTGCCTTCTTTTCTTTTTTCCTTCCTTTTAAATTTTATCAATATTGTATATGCCCTAGGAAGTGAGAACTTTACAGCTCTTATGATGAATTTCAGCAGGTTGCTCCTCAGTGTGGGGTTTTTTGTCATTTGCTGTACAGTGCCCTTGGTGGGCCCCTCTCAGGTGGGATATCTACCGCCTGGGCACATTTCCTTAGTCATTTCTTTGATACTCTCCTTCCTGTTGTGTCTCTGTTCTGTCCTGGTTCTCCTGTGACTCAGATCTCTTTCCTCTGGGTTGCTCTTCTAGGTTTGTTATTGCTTCTGTTTTCCACCTCTTTGACTTCGTGTTCTTCTTTCAGGGGATCTTCCACAACGTTATATTCCAATTCTTTTACTGGGAAGAAATATCTAATGTTTTATTCTGAATTAGAGATTCACAGGAACCTACAAGGAAATGCCTGTGCACCTGCTGGCCTGTGGGTTTTCCTGGGGGGCCATCGGGTGGCCCAGGTCACCGGCAGAACCCCTACTGCCCAGTTCCTCAGGTCTCTAGGCCATTTCCTAAGAAGAATCTTCCAGGCTCATGTTTGAGTGGGCCCCACCTGCCTTCCAGGCCCCTGGCGTCTGCCCAGTCTGCAGATGGCTGTGTGACTCCCCCTGGTCAGCCTTGCACATTGCTCTTTCCTGTGGCTGGAGTCCCAGATCACAGCCTCTAATTCACCCTGTGCAGAGAATACACCTATGGTCTTTTACAGGGCTGAGAGGAGAATCAAGCCACTGGGCACCTGGGACAGGGGTCTAGGGCTCTAGCAGTTTCCTTTCCAAACTCAGCATTCCTGTCTAGTCCTACCTACCCTGTGTCCTTCAGAAATACTGAGGCTTCTGGAGGGGTTCTGTAATAAAAGCAGTTTGCTGCTGGAATCCTCTATTACTGGCTAAGGTTTTTGTTTTCTCAGTCAGCCACATCAGTTACCATGTCCAGCTTCTGGATTTTTGTGGCTGTCATCTGTCTCTGTTCTCTACCACTAAGCACTTCCCCTTCTGATGGCTGCCCACTGCTCCTATTATCAAAGCTAAATGGCGCATCATGAACAGATGCTGGAAGCCCTCCCATCCCTCAGTTTTCTGTCCTGTTCTCTCTCTTGACAAAGGATCTCACAACTATGCACAGAGCTACTTTGGGGGCTCTCCAGGAATGCCCACCACTTCCTTCCCATAATTTCTTACATGTGTTAAGGGCTTGATGGCATCCCAGCATGAGACTTTACTTATGTTCGATTACTCTCAGCAGTCCTGGGTATACTGAACTCTGAGAAGGTTAACCACCTGTCCAAGGAAACACAGAGAGGTAGTGACGCTGCTTGGCCTGACTCTTACCATTAGATGGCATGGTTTGTTGACTGACCAACTAACCAGAGAGGATTTGCAGGTTATTGGACTTGGGTGCCTGAGCACCCTACAGGTGGAGCAAACTAGCCTGCAGGCAGGAAGTGGGCAAAGATGAGAGGGCAGTCTTGGGGAGTAGTGCCTGGCAGGAACTCACTAGCTTCCCTCTATCTTCAGTGAAGTTCCCTTGTGGGAGGCCAGGGAAGCAAATGGAGAAGAAACACAAGCACTTGAAACGTGACACAAACCAAACTGACCAAATAGATCCAAGGCTCGTCAATGGGAAGGTGACCAGAAGGGGAGAGAGCCCCTGGCAGGTGAGAGGAGAGGCAGCTGTTGAGCTGTTGGGTCAGGAATCACTGAGCCCCTACTGGGAATTCCTGGTTAGGATGCACAAATGGAGAGAAGGAATGCTGCTTTCACTTAGGGTGGGGTGGGGGGGTGGGGAGGGGCTGTGCCAGGAAAGCTGGAGGTCCCTGGTGGGAGTTATGACTGGGGCAGGGTGGGTGGAGCACAGGGGCATGGAGCAGATGTGCAGGAAGGCAATAGTTTTAACAAAGAGCTGGAAAGATCATGTGCTGCATGTGGCATTTTAGGCAGAGGCCTAATGGGAGAGATGTTTTGCTTAAGAAAGGTGGGGAGGGGAAGGTTGACCCTGAGGGACGTCTCCAGCCTCATCATGGACACTAACACTTATTTGATCCCAGGCAACAGGGGATACAGAAATCAATAAGCAGGGCAATTCCCTGGGGGGCTCATAGACCCTGGGAGGGTCAGGCCTCTAAACACAACCACTCAGTGGGACCTACAAGGATGGCCAGCAGGATAGGGGCTGATGCAACCCTGAGGGGGATACTCAACGTAGCCTTCAGGCTTCAAAGGCATCTTAGAGAATTTGATCCTGGCCTGAGCCCTAAGGGTGAGTAGAACACTCTGGGTGCTGCTAAGGGTGACTACAGCAACAGTATGAGCAGAGGCACAGATATGCCCTGCAACAGGCCAACTCTGTAAAACAAGCAGAAATAGAAAATGCCAGTAAAGGACCATAAGTCCATGCCTGTGTGACCAGGGAACCCAGGAAAATCCACCTATGCAGCTAGTGCCTCAGGCTTAAGGACCATACTGGGGACATGCTGAAAACCACGGGCCCTGACTTAGAGTATCAGGGGTACTGTTGTGATGTCACTGCCCACTCTCATTCCAGGTGGTCCTGCTGGACTCAAAGAAGAAGCTGGCCTGCGGGGCAGTGCTCATCCACACCTCCTGGGTGCTGACTGCGGCCCACTGCATGGAGGACTCTAAGAAGCTCATCGTCAGGCTCGGTGCGGGCTGGGGCCAGGCAGGAGGGGGCCACCAGAGGCCTCAGGGAGGGGTGGCACCAGAGGCTAGCCAGGTTTTGGGTACTTGAGCTCCATGGAAGGTGTCTGGGGTGAAGAGGCTTGTGTGTGCCCCCCAGCCACTCCTGTGGTAGAATTTTAGGCAGAGTGACACCTGGTATTTGGCAGGTAGGGGATTCTCTTCAAATCTGGTGCCCAGGTGCTTACATGCATATGTTTACAAAGTGAGTGGGGGTGGCTCACACAGACACACTTGTGTCTTCACTCCCACTCCCATGGCACAGGCTGTGTGTGCAGAGCTCCAGCACCATTAGGTGCAGAGACCCACAGGGCATCTACATGGCCTGGTCTCAGAGCCAGGCTTCACACAGACTGATGAGAACAGAGCTGGGCCGCAGAGGCCCAAGCATCTTCCCTGCTTCCCCCAGCTGCTCCCTGCAGTGGTCCAGGGCACAAGCCCAGCCCCACTCTACCAGTTTCTGGCAGGGGCTCCCCACTGTTGATGCAGGAAAGAAGGAAAAGGTACATTGAAAATGACAAAATTCATATTCCTTCCAATTACCTCCAGCACAACCAAAGACCATTTGCCTCCAGTGGCACTCAGTTTAGGATTTCCAACTCCCCCACCCTTCTTCTCTCACCTCTCCAGGAGCCACCAACCTTGCTGGAGACAGCCTTGCTGTCTCTTGTGTGTAATCCAGACCTTTCTTCCCTGGCAGAGCCTGTGTCCTGTTGGTCCTCTCTGGGTCTTGCTGCTCTTGCTCCATCCCCATCGTGGCTTGTCCCTACCTCCCCTCAGGCCAGCACCACTCACAGGAGAGTCATATCTCTCTACTGTGGTTGCTCCATATTCCCTTTTGTGGCTCCAGTCTATGTCCCAGGCTTCCCTGCTGACTGCCCACTGCTGCTGGCTTGCCAGGCCTCACTGCTCCATCAGTGAGCGAGTCCTGAATTCCAGCATTTTGCCCCTTGAGGACTGACACCACAGCGGTTACGCTGGCAGGGATCTGAGGCACGGACTCATGGCCCTCATGATTACAGTGCCTGGGATACACAACGACCACTCCTGGCTGCCCCCAACCACTCTGACTGCTCCTCTGCCCTGCAGGGGAGTACGACCTGCGGCGCTGGGAAAAGGGGGAGATGGATGTGGACATCAAAGAGATCCTTATCCACCCCAACTACAGCAAAAGCACCACAGACAATGACATCGCACTGCTCCACCTGGCCCAGCCTGTCATCTTTTCGCAGACCATCGTGCCCATCTGCCTCCCAGACAGTGGCCTTGCAGAGCGTGAGCTCACCCAGGTTGGCCAGGAGACCGTGGTGACTGGCTGGGGCTACCGCAGTGAGACTAAAAGAAACCGCACCTTTGTCCTCAACTTTATCAACATCCCTGTGGCCCCGCACAATGAGTGCATCCAGGCCATGTACAACATGATATCTGAGAACATGCTGTGTGCGGGCATCCTTGGGGACTCACGGGATGCCTGTGAGGGGGACAGTGGGGGGCCTATGGTTACGTCCTTCCGTGGCACCTGGTTCCTGGTGGGCCTGGTGAGCTGGGGCGAGGGCTGTGGGCGCCTCCACAATTATGGCATTTACACTAAAGTCAGCCGCTACCTTGACTGGATCCACAGCCACATTAGAGGCGAGGAGGCCTCCCTCGAGAACCAGGTACCTTAGCATCCCTCAGGCTTGTGTCTGAACCCCAGAGGCCACTCATGGAGTGGGGGCTGGATTGCTGAATGGCAATATTTGAAACATTAAAGAGGACATGTGACAAGCATACCAGCTACAGTTCTGTCTGTTGTTGCATCCCTTTTCTGGACTGTTCTGGAGGGAAGTAACATTTGTGGAGCATCTACTGCATGTCTCACATATTATGAACACAATCTTATCTAACGCCCAAAGCAAGTCTGTGGGGTGGGAAAGAGTAGTAGGTCCAAGTCTGGTGGGATCTGAGGCTGATAACATTTGGAGGGGGCTCTCTTTCTGAAAAAGAAAAAAAAATTGACTGTAAAACTGTGAGAGCTTCTCCCAAGGCCCTGGAAGGAGCCTGCACAAAACACAGATCTGGAAGCCAGAGCTTTACAGTAAACCCAACAAGATAGTGGTTTTGAACTCATATTACAGAGGAGGAAACTGAAGTTCAGGAGGGTTTATGTGGTGAAATCAGGATTCAAATCTAGATCTGACTCCCAAACCCCTGTGCCCCTGGTCTGTTCTCCACTGGTCTTGGCGGGCAGCTGTGTTGAGCACCTGCTGGATGTGGAGTCCATTATCAGTCCAGTGGGGGAAGTAGCTAGAGACTCAGAAGGTACTGTTTCCGCTCAGAATGAGCTCATAGTGTAGTTGGGGAAGCTGTTGAGGAACCATTTCACACGATCATGAACAGCAGTAAGCAAAAGATTCTATCTTGACCCAACCTTCTAGGCAAAACTGAATGAGACAGAGAAAGAAGTGAGGATGTACCAGATAAAAAGGGATAGAGGTGAGACAAGCCAAGACAACTAGCCTAAAGTCATACAAGTAATCTAATACTGTGTGGCCTTGGCCAAGTCATTATCTTCTCTGGGCATCAGTAAAATAAAGTCATTTTATTTTTAAAAACAGATACTTAAAGTCTCTGGAAATGGTCCTAATGGCAAACAAAACAAGAACAAAGATACGTCTTTTAAACCAACACAAGAAAACTTGATCTGTCCAACAGAAAATGAGGAGAATAAAAATATATAAGTAGCAGACATAAATACATTGTGTTCCTGTAATAACAATGAACATGTGCAAATCAAAATTAAAAATACCACTTCCAACCACCCTCAAGAAATTGAAGTACTGAGATTTAAATTAAACACACAACTATGGCTAGCCAATTTTTTTACAAAGGTGCAAAAGCAATTCAGTGGAGGAAGGAGAGACTTTTCAACACGTGAAGTTGGTACAGTGGGACATCCACCCACCAAAAAATTAAACCCAATCTAAGTCTTACACCTTATACAAAAAGTAAATCAAAATGGACATAAACTCTAAAATGAGACAAGAAGAAAGTACAGTTAATGGAAATTATGGAATAAGATGGAAATAATGATAAATGTAATTAGGTTAAACTTACCAATTAAAAGAGAGAACTGACATGGGCCAGATGGACTTAACAGGTATATTCAGAACATTTCATCCTAAAGCAGCAGAATACACATTCTTTTTAAGTGCACATTGAACATTCTCCACAGTAGATCACATACTGGGTCACAAAACAGCCTTCAACAAATACAAAAAGACTTAGATCATACCATGCATATTTTTCAAACCAAAACATTATGAAACTTGAAGTCAGTCACAAGAAAAAATTTGGAAAGACCACAAATTAAAAGAACAAATAAAAGAACAAAGACCACAAATTAAAGAACATCCTACTAAAGAATGAATGGGTCAACCAGGAAATTAAAGAAGAAATTAAAAAATACATGGAAGCAGATAAAAATGAAAACATGACTGTCAAAAACCTTTGGGATACAGCAAGGGCAGTCCTAAGAGGGAAGAACATTGCAATACAGGCCTAACTCAAGAAGTAAGAAAAGTCTCAAATACACAACCTAATGTTACACCTAAAAGAGTTAGAAAAGGAACAGCAAATAAAGCCTAAAGCCAGTAGAAGAAGGGAAATAATAGATTGGAGCTGAAATCATATACAAAAAAAAAACAAAAAAACAGAACACATCAATAAAACTAAGAGTTGGTTTCTTGAAAAAATTAATAAAATTGATAAACCCCTAACCAGACTTATCAAAAGGAAAAGAGAAAGGACCCAAATAAATAAAATTACAAATAAAAGAGGACAGATCACAACCAACACCACAAAAATACAAACATATTTTTGTACGTACTAGAGAATATTATGAAAAATTATAGCCAACAAACTGAGCAACCTGGAAGAAATGGATAAATTCCTAGAAACCTACAAACTACCAAATCTGAAACAGGAATAAGCCCATAACCAACAAAGAAATTGAATCAGTAATCAAAATTTCGCAACAAAATGTTTAGGCCCAGATGGCTTCCCAGGAGAATTCTATCAGACTTTTAAAGAGTTAATATTTGGGAACCCTGGATGACTTAGCACTTGACTGTTTGCCGTGAGCTCAACTCAGGGCATGGTCCCAGATCCCTGGAATAGAGTCCCACATCAGGCTCCCTGCATGGAGCCTGCTTCTCCCTCTGCCTGTGTCTCTGCCTGTCTCTTATGAATAAATAAATAGAATCTTTTTTAAAAATAAAGAGTTAATACTTGTTCTTCACGAACTGTTCCAAAAAACAGAAATGGAAGGAAAATTTCCAAACTCCTTCTACAAGTCCAGCATTACCTTGACTCCAAAAACAGACAAAGGCCTCACTGAAAAGAATTATAGGCTAAACTTCCTGATGAGCATGGATGTAAAAATTCTCAAAAAAATACTAGCAAATTGAATCCAACAGTACGTTAAAAGAATTATTCACCATGATCAAGTGGCATTTATTCCTGGCTGCAGGGGTGGTTCAATATTCACAAATCAATCAATGTGATGCACCACATTAATTAAAGACAGGACAAATACCATATGATCCTTTCGATAGATGCAGAAGCATATTCTACAAAATGCAGTGGCCATTCTTGACAAAAACCCTCAACATAGTAGGGGTAGATGGAACATACCTCAACATCATACAGGCCATATACAAAAGGCCCACAACTAATATCATCCTCAATGGGGAAACAGTGAGAGCTGCTCTCACCATAACTTTTTTTTTTTTTTTAGATTTTATATATTTACTCATGACAGAGAGAAGCAGAGACACAGGCAGAAGGAGAAACAGGCTCCACACAGGAAGCCTGATGCAGGACTTGATCCCAGGACTCTCAGATCATGCCCCAAGCCAAAGGCAGACGCCCAACCGCTGAGCCACCCAGGCGTCCCTCACCATAACTTTTTTACATAGTACTGGAAGTAGTAGCCTCAGCAATCAGACAACAAAAAGAAATGAAAGGCATCCAAATCAGCAAGAAAGAAGTCAACTTTCACTATTTACAGACAAGTTACTCCATGTGGAAAACCCAACAAACTCCACCAAAAAATTGCTAGAGCTAATATATGAATTCAGCAAAGTCACAGGATATAAAATCAATGTACAGAAATCTGTACATTGTTGCATTTGTATTCACCAATAATGAAGCAGCAAAAAGAGAAATCAAGGAGTGGGTCCCATTTACCATTGTACCAAGAACTAGAAGATACGTGAGAATAAACCTAACCAAAGATATAAAGGATTTGAACTCTGAAAACTAGAGAACACTTATGAAAGAAATTGAAGAGGACACAAAGAAATGGAAAAGCACATGGATTGGAAAAACAAACTTTACTAAAATGTCTATACTACCCAAAGCAATCTACGTATTCAATGTAATCCCTATCAAAATACTACCAGCACTTTTCCAGAGCTAGAACAAATAATCCTAAAGCTTGTATAGAACCAAAAAGACCCCGAATAACCAAAGCAATCCTGAAAAAGAAAAGAGTAGCTGAAGGCATCACAATCCCAGACTTAAAGCTATATTACAAAGCTGTAGTTGCCAAGACAGTATGGTACTGGCACAAAAACAGACACACAGATCAATGGAACAGAATAAGAAAACCCAGAAATGGACCCTCAACTCTATGGTCAACTAATCTTTGACAAAGCAGGAAAGAATATTCAATAGAAAAAAGACAGTCTCTTCAACAAATGGTGTTGGGAAAACAGGAGAGCAACATGTAAAAGAATGAAACTGGACCACTTTTTTATACCATACACAAAAATAAATTCAAAATGAATGAAGGACCTAAATATGAGATAGGAAGCCATTAAAGAAGAACACAGGCAACAACTCTTTGACCTCAGCATAGCAACTTCTTACTAGACATGTTGTCAGACGCAAAAGAAACAAAAGCAAAAATGAACTATTGGGACTCCATCAAGATAAAAAGCTTCTGCACAGCAAAAAGAAACTATCAACAAAAACTAAAAGGAAGCCTACAGAATGGGAAAAGATATTTGCAAATGACATATCTGATAAAGGGTTAGTATCCAAAATCTATAAAGAATTTATCAAATTCAACACTCAAAAAACAAATAATCCAGTTTAAAAATTGACAGAAGATATGTATGGACATTTTTCCAAAGAAGACATACAAGTGTCAACAGAGGCATGAAAAGATGCTCATCATCACTTATCATCAGAGCAATACAAATCAAAGCCACAATGCAATACCACCTTACACCTGTGAAGGCTAAAATTAATGACTAAAATTAATAATACAGGAAAGAAACAATAGATGTTGGCAAGGACATAGAGAAAGAGTAACTCTCTTACACTGTTGGTAGGAATGCAAACTGGTGCAGCCACTCTGGAAAACAGTGTGGAGGTTCCTCAAAGATTTAAAAATAGAACTACCCTGAGATCCAGCAATTGCAGTACTAGGTATTTACCCAAAGGATACAAGACTACAGATTTGAAGGAATATATGCACTCTCATGTAGCATGAGGGGTACATACAGCATTACCAACAATAACCAAACTATGGAAAGAGCACAAATGTCCATCAAGTGGCGATGAATGAGAAAAAAGATGTGTATGTATATATATACACACACACATATTATAATATATATAATGGAATATTACTCAGCCATTAAAAAGAATGAAATCTTGCCATTTGCAATGGCATGAATGGGGCTAGAGTGTATTATGCTAAGTGAAGTAAGTAAGTCAGAGAAAGACAAATA